GGAGAGGAGACCAGCGTAGAGAAAAGGCAGGAGTAGTCCACCACTTTTTTTTCACCGTTTTGTCGCACGACCGTCGACACACGCGGGCACCGAACGACGGACAACACAGACACGACGACAACGAGCGGACGACCAGACAAGAAACCAACGAAAAAGGCCAAGGACCAGCAGCAGACTACCGCGGAGAACAGGACCAGCAATTTTTCTCAACAAGACCCTCCTCGCGCGTTGTCCGCGACGTCACGGAAACGGTGGGACGCTATTGGATGCAAAGGTGGCGGAGGGATATCTGATTCCCTTTGAGGAGCATTTGCCGCTACCTTCTTAACCTGTAACTGACTATAGTGCTACTAAGGGACACGAGTGGTAAAAAGATGAACTTTCCTTGGTTGGGACCAGCGAAAATACTAGAGGTTAGGAGAAAGAACAGCTACGTAGTTGAGATGCCTGACGGTGGCCGTAAGTGGATCCACGCCAACAAACTTAGGCCATATGTGGCACGCGTTGACGCTGTTGGTGTTATCTTTGATGATCCGGATTTCGGTTCGGTGGAGGAACTCCCCACAGACGGGAGGGGAGCAGGTGAACCTGAATCACAGAAAACCGCGGAGGAAAAAGAGATGTACAGCATGGTACACTCTAAGAAAAAATGGAGGAAAAAAGTAGCAACGGCGCGTCTTCCTCCCTTCTACTGACGCGCCCCCGAGCGGACACGAGAAAAGGGGAGGAACGAAACGTTTTTCCCCTTCTCCAGGCAGACGGGAGAAAGCTTTCGCCCTCCCGACTCATCTTTTCGGTTTCGTTTTTCGAGCAGATCGCGCACGTTGTTTAATAAATAGCTGTTGAGTTGATTGAGCTTCAGCGGCAGCGAAGGCCGCCTGTAATTCCGTCTTCTAGTCTAAACGTGCAGAACATTTCGGTTGCATTGACGTTTTTATCACTAATTTTATCAAACGAGCAAACGAAGCCGCTAGAAACAGCGAAGTTCCGGAGCAGTGCCAGCAGCGCCACGTACACTGGGGGATGGCCGTCTCCGGATTTCGGGACTCGCGCGGCACAGAACTACAGTAGCGAAACCAGGCTGAACTGTGTCGACGTTTCCGACGTTATGGAAACCGCAGGCATTGCGTCCAGGACAGGCAGGTTTTGCTGCCGGCTGCCTGGGTACCTTCCGTGCTGAGTTCGGTTATGTTTTCCGATGCCGAGTGCAACCGGCGTTCAACGTGGTTCTGTGTTTGTGCGTGTGAGCAACATAGCTGCAACATCGTGACGGCAGTATTGTGGGTTGTGAACAGAAGACTGGAATTATCGCCGATGTGACCGTGTGTTCGCGTATCAGTGGTGTAACAAGAAGATGAGATCGTAAACTGTTGGGCATTGATGCCGCTGGTCGGGCCGTGATCGGAGGGGGCGGGGTGTCGCAGGTTGACATTCCGCTTTATATTAAAAAGTTTAATACCACTTGAGGGATTACGTGCAATCGATCAACGTGTGGATAGTCATGTTGGAACGTTGGTCTGAGCAGTAGAAGCTCCTATCATACAGTGGCCAATGTGACTGTCGGAATTGTCTCGTCCCCGAGAGCGATTGCGCTCTGGAGCTAGGACTGAACAGTACGAAATCGTGACGGAAAGTACGTATATTTACAGTATGGAAATTCGGCATTAAAAAACAATAGTAGGTAAAATCGAGAGAAAAAAAAAAAAAGCTACCCTTTATTTTGCTGTTTAAATATACTACGGTTCCTGGAGGAACTGCCCTCCAAGTGGCGCGCTGGGATAAGCGCTAGGAGTTTTCGGGCTCGCCACGGCGTAGCTCCGTACCTGCCGCAAGTCGCGGCTTTGACTGCATTCAAGTTGATCGAAAAGCGATTTCTCAGCCCGTGAAGCATCACTTCCAGCTGAGTGAATATCCGCTCTACAGAGATTAATTCAAGACGGCAATTGCAGCTTTGCGCGAACAGCACAAATAGAAAACCAATAGAAATACAGGCTACGACGTGCCGTGTGGGGAAACAAACTCATGGCTTCGAACCGCATTGGAGCGGCTTGATTTATTGGATTTCATGTAATTATGGCATGATCGAGCGTTTACTTTTTAATAAGAGATTCATCCCCTGAGCCATTCAAAATACTCTCAAAGGTACGACATTGCCGGGAAAAAATCAACATGCTGGCAATATTTTTTATTGCTTAGGGAGTCACCGAAAAGTTCCGTACGTTCAAAACGAACAGTATAAAAGACGGAAACGCAGAGTACGGGTGTAGTGTTCGGATTAGTGTGGTGTTCCGTTGTATTGATATTTGTGTGCGCCGTGTATGTGCTCAATGTCTGTTCACTTGATGCTTGTAATAAGCGTAATGTGTGTATAGTAGAGGATCTCAAGCGCAGTAGTAGGCTAAAAGAAGCAAATTTTTTTTTTTTTTTTGCCAGAACATGAATTGGGCGGTACCTAGCGCCACCTATCCTAGCTACTTGCAATTACTCTGCTTCACCCCGCCATCTGGTGGCTAGCGATTTAACCTTCTTTCACGCTATGCGATAGACAGTGGCTTCGAGTTTGTTCTTTCGAGAGCGGCTTTTGGTTTCGTGGATTGAGTTTGCCCTTCTCCGTGATGTGCGGTTGACGAAGGAATTGTTACTCGAGGAACACCAAAGGTAAGACGCAAAGTGCGCAAAGTAACTGGGTGTCTGTTGTCTCCGTTTAACATCGCAGTGCTGTCTACGAGAAGACTGTGTAGCTGCTTTCGAAACGCAAGTTTCTGTACCTGTGGGGGGCTTCGGAAATAAACACAGTTTGCGGGGAGCTCGTGTTACGCTTTTATTTGCTGCTGCTCTCGTCCCGTACAACAGACGTAGCGTCCTCGTCAAGCCTTATTGGGCTCGATTTGCTCGATTTGGGGCCGCCATATTGAGATGCAAGCGACGGAGGAACTTTGCTCCCCTGCTTCAGGGACGAAAGTTTCTCCCTTTCTAAAGGAACATAGGTTACAAGATCGTTCCTCCCCTAAGGGAGGACTATCCATACCCTTTTTTCTAAGAGTGTACAGCAGTTCGTACACCTGTGTTCCGACACCATCCAAAATTTTGCCCGTCGCATGCTCAGTGCGACGGCCAAAATAGTTGTCCCCTCTTTCCTGCCTCTGTGCTGTATATATTACTACGCCGTGAGCCACAACATCCTAGCTCAAAGCCTAAATGAAAAGTGTTGGTGGTGGTTGTACCATGCCTCAGTTCTGTATGAATCCCATTTGTGCTAACCGCAAAGCTCATATCGTTGAAGAAAGTACACTCCCCCCCTTCAAAACTGAATAAATCCCAACCTGCTGTAACAGAAAAAATATTCAACACCGGAAATTTTTCACTGCTCAAAATGTGCAGTACCCTGAGCAATTCTAATATAGGCCTGTTTTGGTATTGTAACGAAGAGCGTAAGGTTACCTTTAAGTCAGCAACCCGCTTTTATGACCAAAAGCATCAGGACACACATGTCATTTCCGAAAGGAGTGCAACAACTCTAGCTCAAGGAATGCCCCTAAGAAGCAAGGCATAACTGCGGAGTTGAACATTCTATCACCTTCCGACTAGCTGTGGCGAGGAGGCCAAGCGACTGGTGGTCGACGAAGAGGATAGGCTTGTTCTACACGGCACTCTGCCCTACGGTAGGGACGGACCTTCCTCCGTCAACGAGAATTACGAACTTCCATACACCCCATTTTGAAACCCACAACCCCACATAAATGACTCATTTCATTACAAAGAACAAGGAGTGCAAACATGCGAAGGTGTTGCCCTAGCATCAAAACAGCTGGCCGAAAAGCCTTCAGATCATATTGAAAACCCAATTAGATAGTGAAAACTGTTTTTTTTTAATGGCTCTGGCCCGGTTCTCAGGCTGCAGGGTCTCAAAAATGCTACCCTGGACCACCTAGAAATGTAACTGCTTAACTGGACACATAATCTATAAAAATAGACCAGAAAATGATTCCAGGCATGATCATCATACAATACAACTTTTTGAGCATCCCCGAAAGGGGGAGGGGACCGACAGTACCAACCACAGTAGCCAAACTTGGGCAGCGTTGCCAAAAAACTGCCGCGTTCCAAATCGATAGAACCCGAAACTAAAACGTTCCGACCAGAAAAGGAACTACCTATGAAGCACTTTGTACGTAGTGGCGCAGAATAGCACAGAAAAATATGTCCGAAACAGGAGGGTGCAGCAGCTCACCGGCATCGGAACACTGTTGGTCTACAACAAAACCTGCAGGAGGGAGCCAACAGCACAAACATGCATGTGATGTGCCGTTGAGCCAGTGTGTACACATACTGGCTATCACTTTTTTGGGGAGATAACCTAGGTTACTAAAATAAACTATCAGCATAGTACAAATTTAATTGAAACCGAAAGAACTATGCCAAAATTGTCAGTGTAATCGCATTACCCAAGATAACCAAGATCTGCATAGCTGAAAACAAAAGCATTGTGGCAGTTCAAACTGCCCCTTTTACAAGCAACAAACAGCAAAGCTACCGGTCTTGTCAAATATTTATTATTTACAACAGCTTGTTTCATTCATGCAAAAAGAGAAAACTAAATAAAAGCAAACAGCCACAATGAAACATGATTACAAATTCAGTCGACCGCGCTAAAAAAAGCCTAGAACAGTGCAATGGACCTTGTATCATGAGCAAAAGCAGCATGGCTTAGTTCATTATTGGACGCAGAACATCGAGTTTTAGCTGCTCTGAACCACAAAAAAACTTTAAAGAATGTTTACCTTGAAGACTGACCTACCATAGATCACTGCTATACCCTGTTTCACCTTATGATGTACCGCAGGAAAGGCTACAAGCGCGAGCTCCTTGCTCTGGGGCACATCTCGGCGACACAAGCTCTCGTGCACCAAGGGCAGCTGCCAACGCTATGAGCTCGCGCTTCTAGCTTTCGCTGCGGTACAACATAAGGTGAAACGAAGTATAGCTTGAGACATAGCTTCCTATATAGGGGGAGAGCCCGCATTACACCTGGAAAGTACCTCATCTATGTGCATTCGACTGTGGAGGATCAAACTCATTTTCTGAGTAAATGCTTTGGGACAGCGTTTGCACTTGTAAGCTTTTTCACCCGTGTGCGTTCGACTGTGGCTTGTCAGAGTGCTACTCTGAGCAAAGGCTTTGTGACATATCTCGCACTTAAAAGGTTTTTCACCTGTGTGAGTTCGCACGTGCTCAGTAAGGTGCGAAAGCCGAGCAAATGTTTTGGAGCACAGCTTACACCTGTGAGGTTTTTCACCCGTGTGTGTTCGATTGTGGCTGGTTAGACTGCTGTTCCGAGTAAAGGCTTTGGGGCATTGCTTGCATTTGAAAGGTTTCTCACCTGCATGCATTCGATTGTGGATGGTCAGACTGCTATTATAAGCAAATGCCTTCAAACAGTGCTTGCACTTATAAGGCTTTTCACCTGTGTGTATTCGATTGTGCTCAATAAAGTGGTACATCCGGGCAAATTCTTTGGGGCAAATCTTACACCAATAATGTTTTTCATTCGAGTGCATTAAAGTGTGAACGATGAGACTGCTATTATGAGCAAACGACTTCGAACATTGCTTGCACTTATAAGGTTTTTCACCTGTGTGTGTTCGGACATGCCCAGTAAGCTGTGCAAGTCGAGAAAATTCTTTAGGGCACATCTTACACTTGTAAGGATATTCACCCATGTGCATCCGATTGTGGATGATCAGACTGCTATTCCAAGCGAAGACTTTAGGGCATTGCTTGCACTTATAAGGTTTCTTGTTTGTGTGCCTTCGACTGTGATCAGTAAGGTGTGCAAGCCGAGCAAAGGCTTTGGGACACTGCTTACATTTATAAGGTTTTTCGCCTGTGTGTGTTTGAATGTGATCACTCAGAGTTGCTTTTCCAGCAAATGATTTGGTACACAGATCACACTTGTAAGGTTTTTCACCAGTGTGGGTTCGATTGTGAATAGTCAGACTGTTCTTCCAAGCAAAGGCTTTGGGGCATTGCTTGCACTTATAAGGTTTATTGCCTGTATGTGTTCGAATGTGGTCAGTAAGGTGTGCAAGCCGAGCAAAGGCTTTGGGGCATTTCTGGCATTTATAAAGCTTTTTGCCCGTGTGTGTCTGAATGTGGTCATTCAAACTAATTTTTCCAGCAAATGCTTTGGGACACAGCTCACACTGGTAAGGTTTTTCACCAGTGTGTGTTCGATTGTGAATGGTCAGACTGCTACTCCAAGCAAAAGCTTTGGCACATTGCTTGCACTTATAAGGTTTGTCGCCCGTGTGTATTCGAACGTGGTCGGAAAGGTGTGCAAGCCGAGCAAATGCTTTGGGGCACTGCTCACACTTGTAAGGTTTCTCACCTGTGAGCATTTGATTTTGGATAGTCGGGCTGCTACTCTGAATATGCAATTGAAAGTGGCACTGCAATTTTGATCTAGAGTCAAACAACATGTGACAGTGTTGGCACTTGAATTGTTCGCTACCATGAGAAACCAGGTGGGTAATGATTCCACACTGATCTGTGGTATCATAGGTGCAGAAACAGCATTTGAACAGGATGTCCTTGGTGGCTTTCAAAGGGCAGCTGGTGTTCCCCACAAGTGTGGCTCCATCACCTATAAAAGCAAAGACCTCACGTGTATTAGGGCAGACATGAAAAACCCAACGAAAATCAGTAACGTATCTTTCAAGTATATTCCACAAACTATAGATATTTTCACCCTCCGTAGCATGAGCACTGCCATCTCGGAATCATGTGAATTGGGTGCCATTCGGTTACTCCAACTCGTCACTCTACTCTCCCTCTGCACCTTGGCCGATGCGTTGTATTAGTATTTTTCGTTGCATTTCACCACATAATGGTCTTACTCCATAAAGTGTTGTCCGATACTTGTATTTATTAAATAATTGCAATACATCATTATCTGCACAACTTCTGCAGTTAGGGTGATAAGATAGGTCTAAGTCATTTTGGAGCAGCTCTTGGAGAAGTCGGAAGTCTATTTTGAAGCAGCAAAAAGAGCTTTCAGAGAATAAACACGCACTTCATTTTTATTCATATCCCTGTAAATATGTTAAGATTCATATGTTGGCCTGTCTAACTAAAAGGCAATGTCTACTTTGGTTTCTCATGTTTAACCTTTTGTTAGGACTGGATGCCCAGTAGGAGCAAATCTCTCAAACAAGGAACTAGCTATTTAGTTGCATGTAGATGTACCAGGCATGGAAACAAGAAGGTTACTGATGAAGGACATCACAAACTGCAGTTCATCTTTATTTTAGAACAAAATTTCACTAAAATTATGTTAGAATACAATAATTTTGGGCACCTAAATTTATGTTTCCTCCAAGTTTTAGAGGTCTGTTGTGTTTTGCTTATTTTAGATTTGTCAGGATTAAAGAATTTGGAGATTTGTCAGGCAACACACAAAGGAGCCAATGCAGGTTATTTTGCTATGTCATAATAATGACTATGTAACTTCGTCTGAAAAAGTAGCCATTACTTTTTTAACTATTTTAGTAAGTGCTATTCAGCAGATGTTTTCACAACTGCGCCGTTTGAGTAATGTTGAATGAAATGACACTGATTGCCAATAAAGTTGACATAGAAGAAATTTCAGAGGAAATATGAATGTTAAAGCCCAAGAGGTCTGTCAGGGTTGATTTTATACCTAGTTTTATTGATAAGGGCTGCACTGAACTATTTGCTCCTCTATATTAAAGGACCCATGAAACGAATTTAGGGCTGGAGTAAATCAATTTATACTGGGATTTTACTAATAGCACATCGTTCAGTGGGCCAAAAGAACAAGAGTAAAAAGTCAGAAGCCTGACTTTCGCTACGAAAATTTGCAAAACATAGCGGACTATTTCGTACCTCCTTCCCTTTGTAAACTCTCCACCTTTTCACTGTGATACATCCGCGGACCCCGCAGCGCGTTACCGGGCTCCTAGCCACCATAACCGGGCCCCCGCAGCGCGTCACCAGGCCCAAGCGCACGTCACACGACACCGGACCTCACTTAATCCCTTTACCCCTAAGCTGACATTGCGGTGGAAGCTACGCGCTTGCCGGACCAATCAGCCGCCTCCCTTTCATCGCCTGACCTCATTCTCTGCGGGTCGGTATGCGCGAGAGAGCGTGATCACGTGGAAAATGTGTGGCTGGCCCAACGAGCACGTAGCTTCCACAGCACTGTCAGCTTCGGGGTGAACGGGGTGGGGAAATCAACAAGTCGGAATTTTGAGCGACGGGCTAATCTTCTAGGGGGACAATGGCTGTGTCCGGCTACCCAAGCGAGATTCCGAGCAAGAGGGGTCTCCCCCCTTTCCGACTTCTTGAACTGTTTGGTACAATGCGCGATTTATGAGTTGAGGAGGAAAGCTAAACAGGAAAAAGTTGAAAAAGCGTTTCATGACTCCTTTAAAGCATGCTTTTAACCTTTTATTAAAAACGGGTGTTTCCGTCATGGAAAAAGTCAGTTCCAGCACCTGCACATAAATCCGGTGACACGTCTAAGGTAGAGAACTATCAACGTGTCTTTGTTATGCCCTGTGCGGATAACAGTTGGTTATCCGCATCCGAACCGCATTCGCTAACTTTTTATATTATTGTATCCGTATCCAATCTGCATCCGAATACTTTGTATTTGTATCCAAACCGCATCCGCAAAATGTGGAACCACATCCGACTCACAATCCAGGCATTCATTGTATATCATAACATCAAGCGTAAATGAAAAAAAAAAAAAGATACAAATAGCACTTTTAAGTTGTTTGCTTATCTTTTTACAAAGAAATTTTCGGGTCACCATTCAAAGGCGATGTCATTTTATCATTATCAGTTTCATTGTATTTATATTAAAAGCGATCAGCCGTCCCGAGACACTTACCTCGAAGGAAAAATTATCTCAGTTATGTGATTGTCCTAGGAGTCCACGACACTCTGCCCGGAGAAAGTCTTCCGCTCTTTCCCTGCCAACGTACTAGCTTTCGAGACGATTGATGCCCTGCATTCTTTACTTTTTTTATAGATAGCATTTTTGACGAGATGGAACGCACTAACTGAAGCGATCTTCCGTGAGAATCAGATCTTTCTTAGGATCCCTATCGTTTTTTCGAAACACGTTTTGTGGAAATACATTTCGTAGACAACTTTTCATGGACATACATTTCAAGGACACACGGTTCGTCGACGCTGTACGTTTCGTGGACACATGCCCCTGAGACGTTTTGTCGACAATGCATTTCTTCACTAAGCCGCTAAGAGCTAGCGCACGATTCACTAAGGCGCGCTTAACCAAACCATGCCCCCTCCCCCCTGTAATCAAGGCGAGACGCAAATAGTTTGTTACGAAAATAGCAGGGTTGTGTGTGACAAAACGTCTCAGGTTTTTCGATGAACTGCCCGGTGGCATTCAGTTAATGAACTGAATGCCACCAGGCAATAATTTAGATCCGGATCCGCGGATATCCGCATCCGCACTCCCTGACATCCGCATCCGATCCGCAGCTTGCCAAAATTTGTCCAATTTTTATCCGCATCTGCCAATTTACTGCGGATATCCGCAGATAATCCGCGAATATGCAGGGCTTTAGTTATGTGCTTTTTCAAAAGTTTTCGAGATAGTTATACATGCCAGTTTTTCTTTTTACTTGAGTCGTAAATTAGCCACTGTTGAGCATGGATCTATAAGGGGTCAATCTGTAGAAACGGAGCTGTTTTCTACTGGATTACACAGTACAGATAGTTATTATGCGGGGAAAAGTTGATATTGTTTATTTTGATTTGTCCAAAGCCTTCAACAAGGTAAATCATACAATGATATTGTATAAGCTCTCATAGGATGCATCTTCAACACTTTTAGAGTGGTTTAGTAGCTGGCTCTGTTCAGATAAGATCATGCACGTAAGTTCAAACATATTTTTTGTTTTTGTTCATATTTTTTTTTTATCTGGTACTCCTCAACATGTGTATGGAACGTAATCAGAAAAGATTTTGCAAAAAACATAATACTTAAAGAAACAAAAATATTAGTAAGCCAGAACAGCATATTAGATTTGTAAAGTTTTTGTTTATGACATGTTTCGTGACACCTACTCTGCAAACCACAAATATCAGAAATCTAAAATATTTTCCACTTATAATAAATCATAGGAACTATTGAGGGAAATATGTACAGCATTGTGGAGGTCGTATATTTTACATCAAATTGTGTAAACACGAGTTTTTTTACATTTTGACACTAGATTTCAGAGCTGCCATCTACAAAACTTGAATAGCTACAACATTAAAATACATGTCATATTCTTAATAAAACATTCTTTCGAATGATATATGAATCATTGCTTTATCTCAAAGCTTGACATTTTTTATGTCACTCCAAATTACAAAGTTAAATTTCAAGAGACAATTAAAAAAAACATTTTCGATTTTACCGAAATTTATAGTGATAGTTTTCCACCATAATCTTGAGTTTATTATTGAAAAAGATGGTGCATCATTTTGTTTCCTTCAAAGTTACAACGCTGCGAAGTGCATCTTCCATGCCAGCATTTTAGCCCAATGCCACAGATGATCCTTTGATTCCGTGCATTTCATGACTAGATATATTTTTTGTGGGGCACGTGAGTATCGGGCTCAAGTTCCAGCATGATAATAATTAAAACAATACCCACATTCCTCATACTTTTTATTAAAGGACACATGCAAAGGAAAAAAAAAATTTTTTTAGACAGCTTAGATGGAAAAAGGATGTCATAAAACGATTTTACAACGAAGAAACAAAATTTTTAGAGCTATATTTACGGCGCTATACGAATTTGTAGTTGGCGCTCGCGGGAGCCGCCGCTGATCACGTGGTAGGCCCGCGCGCCGCCGCGCTGCGTCGCCGCCGCACGCTGAGCGTTGTGCGAACGCCGCTTCAACGCGTTTCTCCACGCCGCCGTCGCCGCCGCCGCACAAGTTCGTCTGCTTCGGGGCGCCGTCGCCGTCGTCTGACCGGCGCACAGGTCTACCACGTCTGCTTGCGCTCTTTCAGGAGTTTCCTTTGGGCTCTAAAAGTTACTTATTCGTCTTGGTTTTTTGTTATACTTCAAACAAAGATGAATAAGTTACTTTTAGAGGCCATAGGAAGCTTCCAAAAGAGCGCAAGCACCACGTGATAAATAAAGACCAGTCACGTGATAAATACAGACCACTTTTCCGCGGTGCCCGCGGGCGCCAACTACAAATTCGTTTTGCGCCGTAAATATAGCTCTAAAAATTTTTTTCTTCGTTGTAAAATCGTTTTATGGCGTCCTTTTTCCATCTAAGCCGTTTAAAAAAAATGTTTTTTTCCTTTGCATGTGTCCTTTAATTTAACCAAAAACCACGTTTCGGCCTTTAAAATTACAAGTTCTTTGAGTTTTAGCTTAACTTTTTCCATAGAAGCGGGGCAAAAACATGTAATGCTACTACATTTTTTTATAGAAAGTAGTAAAAAAGTAAGCACAGTGGTGCAAATTGTATGCAAATATCTGCACCTATATTCGCAATGAAGTGGGAATGTTTGAGCCACTAAGCGTGTTACACTGCTATTCATGACTGCTGTAGGTCTGACTGACCAAGGTAAACCTGCAACCTCATTGGCAGACTTTCAGCAAGATGTCCGTTAAGATTAAAAAAAGCAAAGGCTGTTTGCACGATTTATCCACGGGGCGCAATGTCGTCAGGGCCGAGATGCGCTCCGATAGCAAACCGAAACTTAAAAACACGTTGAATTTGTGCGGGTTTTCAGAAAGCCGTAAAATGCTACCCGTGCCTTCCATCGTTCTGCAATACGTTGATTTAGTGTTTTTCGATGATGCTATGCAATTTTCTAATTGAAACCATGCCCTTAAACACAATATTAAAAAAGATAATTACCGTACTTACTCGCAGAATGAACGCACTTTTTTTTTCAAAAAAATCGATGCAAAGTTGGGGGGGGGCGTTCATTACGCGAAGTAAAACTTTTGCGTCGGGTATTTACTCGCTTTATGAAAGGACCTTTTATCCTGAAATATCCAAGTAACTTCTTCTCGCTTTGCGCGCGGCGCCCGACCCCGTAACCAAACTAATCTGTGCAAAAAAAAAAAAAAATCTTGTTTTTCTTGGTTTCTTGGGGGGGTTTTTTGCCGCCTTTGGCAAGCTGTTTTGTTTGCTTAGGCGTTGCTTAGGCGAGGGCTCTCCGCTTATCTTTCTTATCTCCTTGTGCGCGGCGCGCGACGCACGACCCCTGTAACCAAACTGCGCTGTGCAAAAAAAAAGAAGAAAAAAAGCTCCTCTTTTTTGTTTGTTTGTTTCTCAGTTCCGTGTTCTTTTTTTGCTGACTTTCGCAAGCTGTTTCGTTTGCTTAGAGGGCTTCTCCGCTCCTCTTTCTTACTTCCTTGCGCGCGGCGCGCGACCCCCCGTCACCAAACTGCGCTGTGCAAAAAAAAAAAAAAAAGAAGAAAAAAAAACCTCTGTTTTTGTTTTCTCTTAGTTCGGTGTGTGTTTTTTTTTTTTTTTTTGCTGCCTTTTGCAAGATGTTTCGTTCGCTTAGAGCGCTTCTCCGCTTCTCTTTCTTACCTCCTTGCGCGCGGCGGCGCGCGAACCCAAAGTCCAGACTGCGCTGTGCAAAAAAGAAAAGCTCCTCTCCATGTTTTTTTTTTTTTTCTTGCTTCCGTTGGATCTTTGCGATATTTTTTAACGCCTTTTGCAAGGCGTTTTGTTCGCCCATGCTGCCCATGCATTCACGACCTCGCTGCACCAGGATAGAAAAATGCGTTCATTTCGGGCGCGTGGGGGAGGCGGTCAAAACTTTGACGTCCGAGTTGGGGGTGCGTTTATTACGCGAGTGGAAAAAAAAGTCGAAATTTTGAGAGCCGACTTGGGGGGTGCGTTCATTACGCGAGTGCGTTCATTGTGCGAGTAAATACGGTACGCAAAAATAATTAACAATCTAATTATTCTGCACTTTAATAATTTTCCTAAACAGGCCCCTGGCCCAGGACCAAAACGACACAAGCCGCTTTTTGTTCCGACGCATAGTTTTCGCAATATCGAATTTGTTCACCTTTCGTGATATATATATATACTGTAAATATATACTTTCGTGATACTATATACTTTCGTGATATATATATATATTTATATATTGAGAACGAAGAGGGGAGAAGGTGATTATTGAATTTATTGCATTAAACTTAGGGAAAGGGAAAGGGAAAGAGAGCTAGCGAAAAATTGGGCCAGGAGCGGGGATTGAACCCGCAACCTTCGCCTGACCGGGGCGACGCCTTAACCGATTAGACCATCCTGGCCACTGGTTTCGGCGGACTCAATTTCTGACCAGCTCTCTGTGTACTGTTTAGTTTCGAATTCGCTTAACTGGGTAGACGACAACCGTTGCTGATTTAAGGCCCGCGCTATTTCCGACATGCGGCAGTGACGTGGCACGTCATCTCAGCTTGCAAATGTCGGAAAGGGCCCGTCTTCCAGGATATCTAGGGAATCACTCCTCCCCATAGGGACAGGCTGCACCGTATATATAATGGGATTGAGTGAAGATTGACAAGTGCAGCCGTAGTAATATTGAGAACGAAGAGGGGAGAAGGTGATTATTGAATTTATTGCATTAAACTTAGGGAAAGGGAAAGGGAAAGAGAGCTAGCGAAAAATTGGGCCAGGAGCGGGGATTGAACCCGCAACCTTCGCCTGACCGGGGCGACGCCTTAACCGATTAGACCATCCTGGCCACTGGTTTCGGCGGACTCAATTTCTGACCAGCTCTCTGTGTACTGTTTAGTTTCGAATTCGCTTAACTGGGTAGACGACAACCGTTGCTGATTTAAGGCCCGCGCTATTTCCGACATGCGGCAGTGACGTGGCACGTCATCTCAGCTTGCAAATGTCGGAAAGGGCCCGTCTTCCAGGATATCTAGGGAATCACTCCTCCCCATAGGGACAGGCTGCACCGTATATATAATGGGATTGAGTGAAGATTGACAAGTGCAGCCGTAGTAATATTGAGAACGAAGAGGGGAGAAGGTGATTATTGAATTTATTGCATTAAACTTAGGGAAAGGGAAAGGGAAAGAGAGCTAGCGAAAAATTGGGCCAGGAGCGGGGATTGAACCCGCAACCTTCGCCTGACCGGGGCGACGCCTTAACCGATTAGACCATCCTGGCCACTGGTTTCGGCGGACTCAATTTCTGACCAGCTCTCTGTGTACTGTTTAGTTTCGAATTCGCTTAACTGGGTAGACGACAACCGTTGCTGATTTAAGGCCCGCGCTATTTCCGACATGCGGCAGTGACGTGGCACGTCATCTCAGCTTGCAAATGTCGGAAAGGGCCCGTCTTCCAGGATATCTAGGGAATCACTCCTCCCCATAGGGACAGGCTGCACCTAGATATCCTGGAAGACGGGCCCTTTCCGACATTTGCAAGCTGAGATGACGTGCCACGTCACTGCCGCATGTCGGAAATAGCGCGGGCCTTAAATCAGCAACGGTTGTCGTCTACCCAGTTAAGCGAATTCGAAACTAAACAGTACACAGAGAGCTGGTCAGAAATTGAGTCCGCCGAAACCAGTGGCCAGGATGGTCTAATCGGTTAAGGCGTCGCCCCGGTCAGGCGAAGGTTGCGGGTTCAATCCCCGCTCCTGGCCCAATTTTTCGCTAGCTCTCTTTCCCTTTCCCTTTCCCTAAGTTTAATGCAATAAATTCAATAATCACCTTCTCCCCTCTTCGTTCTCAATATTACTACGGCTGCACTTGTCAATCTTCACTCAATCCCATTATATATACGGTGCAGCCTGTCCCTATGGGGAGGAGTGATTCCCTAGATATCCTGGAAGACGGGCCCTTTCCGACATTTGCAAGCTGAGATGACGTGCCACGTCACTGCCGCATGTCGGAAATAGCGCGGGCCTTAAATCAGCAACGGTTGTCGTCTACCCAGTTAAGCGAATTCGAAACTAAACAGTACACAGAGAGCTGGTCAGAAATTGAGTCCGCCGAAACCAGTGGCCAGGATGGTCTAATCGGTTAAGGCGTCGCCCCGGTCAGGCGAAGGTTGCGGGTTCAATCCCCGCTCCTGGCCCAATTTTTCGCTAGCTCTCTTTCCCTTTCCCTTTCCCTAAGTTTAATGCAATAAATTCAATAATCACCTTCTCCCCTCTTCGTTCTCAATATTACTACGGCTGCACTTGTCAATCTTCACTCAATCCCATTATATATACGGTGCAGCCTGTCCCTATGGGGAGGAGTGATTCCCTAGATATCCTGGAAGACGGGCCCTTTCCGACATTTGCAAGCTGAGATGACGTGCCACGTCACTGCCGCATGTCGGAAATAGCGCGGGCCTTAAATCAGCAACGGTTGTCGTCTACCCAGTTAAGCGAATTCGAAACTAAACAGTACACAGAGAGCTGGTCAGAAATTGAGTCCGCCGAAACCAGTGGCCAGGATGGTCTAATCGGTTAAGGCGTCGCCCCGGTCAGGCGAAGGTTGCGGGTTCAATCCCCGCTCCTGGCCCAATTTTTCGCTAGCTCTCTTTCCCTTTCCCTTTCCCTAAGTTTAATGCAATAAATTCAATAATCACCTTCTCCCCTCTTCGTTCTCAATATTACTACGGCTGCACTTGTCAATCTTCACTCAATCCCATTATATATACGGTGCAGCCTGTCCCTATGGGGAGGAGTGATTCCCTAGATATCCTGGAAGACGGGCCCTTTCCGACATTTGCAAGCTGAGATGACGTGCCACGTCACTGCCGCATGTCGGAAATAGCGCGGGCCTTAAATCAGCAACGGTTGTCGTCTACCCAGTTAAGCGAATTCGAAACTAAACAGTACACAGAGAGCTGGTCAGAAATTGAGTCCGCCGAAACCAGTGGCCAGGATGGTCTAATCGGTTAAGGCGTCGCCCCGGTCAGGCGAAGGTTGCGGGTTCAATCCCCGCTCCTGGCCCAATTTTTCGCTAGCTCTCTTTCCCTTTCCCTTTCCCTAAGTTTAATGCAATAAATTCAATAATCACCTTCTCCCCTCTTCGTTCTCAATATTACTACGGCTGCACTTGTCAATCTTCACTCAATCCCATTATATATTTATATATATATACTGTAAACGACTTAATTTTCACGAAATGGGCCAAAGCAGAAAATTTGAAATTATTCGCGGGTTCTAATTTTTGCGAATCGAGTGTAGCTTCCGTAGCGTTTTTTATGAATTGTAAGCGATTCGCAAAATTCGCGAAAATTAGGTCCTTGCGAAAATTTAGTCGTTTACAGTATATATATATATATATATATAGTGCTAGCAGCCCTTACCTTCACTAAACAGAGGGACTGCAAGCTGCTGTGTCCTGGCAACTTCATTTCCAAGGTCCTTTTTGCCACACTGCAGTGCAGCACTGGCAGCACCTGGAATTAAGTTTCACATGTATACACTTTGGTACACTAGCAAAGCCCTCTGTCAAAACAGCAGGTAAGAAAAGAGTTTGCATGGAAAGACAAATGACTTCCAAAGTAATGAAGACTGTAATGCCAAGCACTGCTTGTATTCACAGGAACACCGTGAATACAAACAGTCCGTTTTTCGATACATGGGAGGCGTTAATATAAGCAGTATCGCCCAATACTTGGACCTTGCTACTGACTCTACAAGCCTCCAGCATTTCCCAGGTGGTGCCACCCCTTCTTTCTTGCTAGTGCCATCTCTCGCCATTCATTTGAACCATTTTGGGCAATTCGGGGGCATACACATTCAGGCGGCACGTAGGTCTCCAACATTTGTACAAGGTCTTTGAAAAACCGCAACGCTAAATGCAACTCGCAAGTTCCGGAAATCTAACCAGGTGTGTCTGAATATCATTAAAATAAGAGCAGGTTTCAGGCAACCGGTTTCGGAACTCCGATACAGTTGACGTGATCAATCCGCAGCATGATAGCTGCCAGTAATCGGTCTTCGCTTCCATGACAAGAGTGAGTTCGCTCAAAAAGAGAAGCTCAAGAGGCTTGAAATACAAGTGAAATTAACTGCAACAATGTACTTTGGAAGCATAATGTAAACCAGAGGTCTCAAGCTCATTCGAACATGAAGGCCAAATAGCCCCCCCCCCCCCCCAATAAGATTGATGGCCAACAATGTAGGGCCGAGGCGAAGAAGAGGAGTGCACATGTTTTGGAGAAAAAGATGTAGCAATGATTTTTCCCATAGCAAAGCAGCCGAGTGGTTCTGAGACACACCAGAGATTTCCTAAATAAAAGAACTCATGCTCTCTGCTTTTATTTATTTTTTTGTGAACTTTTAGGTTTGCTTTTGACATCTTCAGCTTCCACTCGCTCATGACTGTTGGGCCTGTACCAGATATTATAAGCTGATTTAAAATGGCACTACCCCACCAATGTGCTGGCACTTTTAATCAGTTTGGCAGTTTCTCCTGCTGCGTGGGAGCTTGTGCGGCCGAGGAGCCATCCTCGAGCAAAGAGCTCACGTTCATAGCCTCTACTCCATTCCAGTTTAAAAGCGAGTGAAGAGGAAGCTGCACGCATGTTGCCTTGAACGACATGTGCATGGAAGAAATGTTCAAACTGAAAAGCTAACACTTGTAACTTTTAATACACTCGCGCTCCAGGTGAAGCATATTATAGTAGTGGGATTGACGGACAGGAGATTAACTTGAGAAACAGCTGGAAAGTTAAAATGAAGATGACACAATGGTCAATGAAAAAAAGAGTACTGCACATATGTGAGCACATAAGAGCAGAGCCACGTTTTCGACAAAAATTATTCAACAACGCAAGACCATTGTGACGCATGCAGCGCTCGAGACATGGGAACGGGGGCCTGCAGTCAGGAGATGCTTGCGGGCAACCTACCAGCAAGTCGTGGGCCGCATGTGACCTGCGGACCGCGTGTTTGAGACCAATGATGTAAATGAATGCTGGGGAAGCTCACATCAGAAAAAAGAACTAATTAAAACCTTTACCAACCAGAGAGCCTACTTATATGCTTATAAATGTACTTTTAACCACCGACGCAACAACTGCCACAAAAAATGACTGTCGACGGCAAAAGACACATCACTATGTAAGCAAAAAATTTACCTAGGACCCACAAGTAGGGAATGTAAGTCGCAAGCAAGCTTGAATAAAGGCAACATCGTTCAAAATCTCAAGTACAAAATAAAAGGCCGCGACTATTTCAACGTCTACCATCAAAATAATTTTACCGTTATTTTGACATCCGTGACAGCACTTTCTGAAAAAGTGAAAAACATTTTTCAAAAAATTTTGATGTTTCCCATGAAAATATTGACTTTACTGTTTTGACGTCTCCTGTCAAACTTGACACCACAAAGTGACCAGAGTTTTGGCTCGGGAGCTTCGCACTAAAAGTGATCGAAAGTGGCGATTAAAAAATTTTCGCCTTGCTTGCAGTCGGCATTGCACATTTTTCCGACAAGCGTCACGGAATCAACTGCAGTTTCCCTAACCTGATTTTTTTCAGTGATCGAGAATCCAAGAAAATTTCAGAATACAACTCGGCTATCAGGCCGCATGTGACATTTGCTCAGTAGTTCTGCTAAATTCCACGGAATGCACAATTTATTTCACATTATTTATAACAGATGGAAGGTGTCGTGTCTTGACGGGGCAACAGGCACAGTAGACCGGAGGACCATGGCCCGAGGTTTATTCCATGGAGCATGGAACTAGAACGAACCTCTCGGGCTATCAAAACTGACACGACGATAAAGAAGAAGAGCGAAGGAACTAAAGCACCGCCACTATAGTCCCAGTAGCGCGCGCTTGGCGGTAACTACACAACACTCCTCCCCCTTTAATTACGTAGCAGTGCCAACGGCAGTATTATACAAAAGTTAGGAGCTAGCTTGGTATCTGTCAGGCGGACGCCGTTCTCTCGATTGGTAGCGTCCTTAAGAAGTACTGTATTTACTCGCAGAATGAACGCACTTTTTTTCCCGAAAAATCGATGCAAAGTTAGGGGGGCCGTTCATTACGCGAAGTAAAATTTTTTCGTCGGTATTTACTCGCATAATGAACGGACTTTTTATCATGAAAAATCGACGTAACTTCTTATCTCTTTGCGCGCGGCGCGGGTCCCATAACCAAACTGGGATGTGCAAAAAAAAAAAGAAAAAAAAAGCTCCTCTTGTTTTGTTTTTTTTAGCTCCTTGGGTTTTTTTGTTTTTGCCGCCTGTTTTTCGCAAGCTGTTTCGTTTGCTTAGGCGAGGGCTTTCCCGGTCATCTTTCTTATCTCCTTGCGCGCGGCGCCCAACGCGCGACGCCCCCCCCCCCCCCCCCCTCCGTAACCAAACTGCGCTGCAAAAATAAAAAAAAAGGAAACGCTCCTCTTTGTTTTTGTTCTTTTTCTCTTTATTCTATAATTTTTTTTTTTTTTTTGCAGTTTTTCGCAGGTTGTTTTGTTTGCTTAGAGGGCTTCTCCGCTTCTCTTTCTTACCTCCTTGCGCGCGGCGCGCGACTCCAAAGTCCAAACTGCGCTGTGAAGAAAAAAAAAAAAAGAAGCTCTTTGTTTTTTCTCTTAGTTCCTGGTTATTTTTTTTTTTTCTTCTTGCCGCCTTTCGCAAGCTGTTTCGTTTGCTTAGAGGGCTTCTCCGCTTCTCTCACCTCCTCGCGCGCGGCACGCGACCCCGAAATCCACACTGCGCTGTGCAGAAAAAAAAAAAAAAAAGCTCTTCATGTTTCTTTTTTCTTGCTTCCGTTGGCTCTTTTCGAATTTTTTTTAACGCCTTTTGCGAGGCGTTTTGTTCGCCCATGCTGCCCTTTCATTCGTGACCTCGCTGCACCAGGATAGAAAAGTGCGTTCATTTCGCGCGCGTGGGGGGAGGGGGTCAAAATTTTGACGTCGGAGTTGGGGGTGCGTTTATTACGCGGGTGAAAAAAAAAGTCGAATTTTTGTGAGCCGACTTGGGGGGTGCGTTCATTACGCGAGTGCGTTCATTGTGCGAGTAAATACGGTAGATCGGCCTGTAGGAGGTACAGGATCCCGTTGCGCGATGGTGTGAGGCTGCTGTGGCCCAGGGTCTTGTACCGTGGTCGGGACACTTGGCTTGCCTGGTGAAAAGACCAGGAACCCCCCAGCGTCGTCGGTGTCCAAAGGTACCGGCGTTGCCGTTGGCCGTGTTTGGCTCAAAAGTTGATCGAGGTGCCGACGCCAGATGAACTTGCCTCGAGGCGTGGTAACCTGGACTTGGTAAGATACTGGACCAGTCCTCTTGAGGACAATACCACGTAGCCACCTCGGCGAACTCTGTAATTTCGCACTAGGACATTGTCATCAGGGCAGATTTCTTCTCTGCTTGTCCTCCGTTGCTTACTTTGTATAAATTGCTTGTGGATCACTTTCCCCCCTACCGTAGGCTTGATTACATCCAACCTGGAACGCAATCTTCTGCCCATCAACAAGTTTCCTGGCGTCTCTCCTATTGTTGAATGTGGAGTACTCCGGTACGTCAGAAAAAAGTGTTGCAATGCTTCTTCCAGAGACTCACCAGCGGATGACTTGCGTAGTGCAGACTTCAGTGTCTGCACAAACCGTTCTGCCAGGCCGTTTGTGCTCGGGTGGTATGGGGCGCTCACGACGTGTCTGACCCCGTTGTTCCTCATGAACACCTTGAATTCCTCGGACACCAGCTGCGGCCCTTTGTCTGAAACGATTGTTTCCGGAATTCTGAACCTGCAGAAAAGTTCACGTAGGCACGTAGGCACAGTGCGCTCGGTCGTAGTGCTCTGCATGGTGAACACCTCTGGCCACTTTGAGTGCGCGTCCACCACGACTAGGAACATGGTTCCGCGGAACAAGCCTGCAAAGTCCAGGTGTAGTTGTCTCCACGGAGCTGTCGGCCATGCCCAGGGGTAAGGAGGCGCTTTGCATGGATCAATATGCTGTTGCTGGCATGCTTGGCAGCTTCGTACCTTTCTTTCAAGGTCTGAGACAATAGATGGCCACCAAACATAGCTGCGAGCCAGCTCCTTACTTCGCACGATGCCGGGATGGCCTTGATGCAGTTCGTCGAGTACGGGTTCCTGCAGCTGGGACGGAACAACAACCCTCATGCCGTACATTAGGCACCCTTGATGAACACTCATCTGCAAGCGTCTGTCAAAGAACGGTCTGAGTTGTTGTTCTTGCACGTGCGTCGGCCAACCCATGCTTGTGTATTCAAGTACTTGACAAAGTAACGGGTCGCGCCACGTAGCTCGTGCAATCTCCTTAGAGGACACCGGCATTGACTCTAGGCGCAGTGCATAGAAGGACTCTTCGCCCTTGCAACTATCGTCTTTCCCACTTTCGAGAGGGAACCTTGAGCAAAAATCGGCCTCTGCATTGTCACTGGATCTCTTGTACACCAACGAGTACTTGTACGCTGACAAGG